AATTAGTAAGTCTAGTATTTGAGAGATAGCAAGGAGCCTATAATTAGTGTGTCTTGGAATGTCTTTACTGTATCACAAACGTGAGTTCTACGATCACCAGACAAAGGGCCTGGGGTAGACTGGTTTGCTACAGTAATGTCTAGCTGAAAAGTACTTAGCATATAGGTTGTGTTCCTTGTGTGGATTTCTAAACTTTAATTACATGTATTAAATGCAGCTTTAAGGATTGGTTTTAGGAATTAGATTGAGATTACTGGTTTAGCTTTTGGTATTAGGGTTAGGATTGGGGGTCAGACTAAGGGATATGGATTAGAATAAGGTTAATGCTAATCTTAAGTAACTAAGGCCTAATACAAACGATGAGAATATCAGACAAATGATTGTTTGTTTTTTTTGGATTCCTTTTTGCATGGTAGTCTCATATTGAAAAGTAACAGGTTACTAAAGTTACAAAAATTCAACTTTGGAAGTTCTGGCACCTCGAGCACTGAATGCATGTAATAGCATGGGGAGCTGGGGTGTCTAATAATGCTGCCTTCTGGGGGATCTATTGTTGCATGATGGTATATTGTTGTTGGGGAGGTCTATTGTTGCTGGTGGGGATCTATTGTTGCTAGGGGGTAAATTGTTACTGTAAGAGATCTACTGTTGAGGGAGGGGTCTATTGTTTCTAGCTGCTGGCTTCTGGGAAATCTGTTGTTTCTGGGGGGTATTTTGTTGTGGGGTCCATAGTTGCTTGAGGGTCTATTGTTGCTGGGGGAATCTGTTGTTGCTGGAGGAGGGTCTATTGCTGCTTGCTGCAGGGTATCTATTTTACTACTCTTCTTGTTATCGTGAACACATTTCATACAAATTACTTAGCACCACAAAACAAAACTTGACACCATATTCTCTAAAAGGTGTGGTACTGGGAGGTGGGTAGGGGGTGGAACCAAGGGACAGTGCTCGGAGACGGGTTGTCAAAGTCGTGATGACGAAAAGCATCAGGTAGTGATGTCAGATGTTGCCAGAAGTGTAGCAGTGGCCATTTTAGATGAGGTCCGGTCTTCGGATACACATTGGAAGGAGATCCAGTTTAAGGACTACACAAACGCTAATGTTTACTCTGCATATGTAAGCACTTTTTTTATTAATAAAGTAAGAGCTTTTAGGTTGGTACATGATGATTGTTTATTCTTTTTCTGGGCATATACTATCATTATCGTTGGAGTATTAAAAGCCACAGTATTTGGAGCAAGAGTCTATTTGATGAAAGCCTCTGTTTCCTGTCATTCTGGTAAGGTGCATGGATTGACAGGTGTTGGATCACTCGGCTGTTTCATTGTTTTGTGATCACTGGTTTGGAGTGTCAGAGCACTGATTCACATGATATGATGGTTATGTGTTGACAACATTACACTATATTTGATTTACATCTCTTGGAGGTTCTGGTTTTATTGGGATGAATTTTTGAAGAAGGATCTCACTAGTCAAGAATTCATACAAAGCAAGTTATTCATCTAATGAGGGTAAGAGTAGGAATTACGGCCACTGGATGGACACTTGGTTATTTGGGGCACATTTTGAACACTATAATGTGAGCGCCCTATTATAATTTGATTTAGTTATGTGTTGAGGGTAATGCACTGTGTAGTTTATTTCTTTGAGGTAAAAAGAGGAAGAGGGGCAATTTTCTTTGAAGAATATTGAAAGCCATGAACAAGCATGCAGATTTCATTAGTTTACATGGGAATATATTAAAACTTTGCTGGATATTGTTGAACATATTTTTGGGTAGGGGGAGGAGACAAGAATTCACTCGAAGGGTGGAGTTTCTAGTTCTGAGAAAAAAAAATCCTGGTTGTAATGTAATGTATTCTTTTATTTCCAAACATATGTAGTCTTGGTAACACAAATACTATACTAATTACATAAAAATCTCTAATTCTGTTATCTTATGAGACCAAACTGTCATGCTTGTCCCTTCAAATATTTTCCATGAACTGTCATGATCGGCTCTCAGGAGCTGTGTACTAACGATCATGTTATCGAACAATCACTTTTTTTGTCTAATTTTCTCATCATGTGTACAAGACTTTATTTAGTGATCTGTAAATATATAAAAAGCAACAAACAAAGGAGAACTAAATCAAAGTTGTTACAAATAGTGACCATATATATTTTCCTATATTTACCTCTGGAGATGTTAAACAATATATTGACATCATTGTGGGAAACAACCTCTGTTTCCATTTTCTCTTCTATGTTTGAGCATGATAAGCATGTCTCAAAACATTACACGGAGTTAGGGCACACGTGGCAAAAAATGTACTGGCAACAAAAATTCAATCATGTATAATTTTTGATGCAGAAAATTAATGCACTGAAAAATGAATCACTGTTATCCCTTGCCAAAAACAACCATGCCATTGTTCAGTAGCCAGAAAACAATGTGCCAATGAAAACGGCCTCACCATTAGAGACCTGGTAAGGATGTCTTATTTAGAACAGAATTCTTTTTAAACATTGTTGAGGTGAGATCGGAATAACGTCAAAATTCCAAATGAAGCATTTTGTTCTATGTTCTAGCCGCATAGTAGGTAAAAGACAGAGAAAAACACCTCCGGTCACTAAAAAAGAATAAATAAAACATCTGAGCTTTTCATTACTAAAGGAATGTGTGAACTTTTATTTATACTGTCAGAAGAGTGATGTGTACACTTCCATCACCGGCCGAACTCATCTGTTTTCCAGGAGCAATATCAGTCTATCAGCCGCAATTCGAGAAATATGTGAGTAAGGGTTATAGTCTTAACATTTAATTCCATAGCATTTACAGCGTATCATAAAGGTGTCGTTTTGCTGGATAACATCTGTAATGCAAGATTAAACACAGATTGGACACTGGATTTAGATCATTGATTTCTTGAATTAGTACTGGCTGGAGTTTGTTCTCTGACAGATTTGTTATTATCACACAATCAGTCACTTCTGTTTAACTCAACTGTTTGTTACAAAGTATAAGGTTAATGTAAGATACAAATACCTCTTACAAATAATCAAGCAGATGCTGAGAGTTTTTGCAATACGTTTGGGAATTTTAAAACAGTTCTTTTTGTAATGGTAACACTTTTTTCTGCTGGAGATTTGAAACATGAAATTGATGTTACGTCCAAATTGTAATGCAAGTGGATGTTCAGAAAAGTAATACAAATCTTAAAAGGACTTTAGTACTTTTTATTGAAAGTGTTTTTTATAAGAAGATACAGGTCTATTAGGGATGAGCACATACATTCACATGAGTGGGAATTCATGCAGTGACTCTAGCTAGTTTGCCCTGAGCCAAGGGTTACCTGGATTTGGCAATTTACCTTGTTGGCAAACCTAATTCACTGAGATGAACTACTAAAATAGCTTAAAATGGTTGTCAAGGTAAAAAATGTTTTTATTTTTTTACTTTAATGCACTCTCTGCATTAAGGTAAAAACCATGTATTAGTAGCTCCCATACAAAGCCTCCAAATACTTACCTGAGCCCAAACTCAATCCAGCACTCTGCACATCTACAGCAGCTCTTTTCTCCTCTCCCGGCTCTCACAGGCTTGGCTGAGAGCAGTGGGAGACATTGGCTCCTGCTGCTGTCACTCAAAACCTGTGATCAGAGAGTGAGTGGCAGGGCTAAGCCAGGCTGTGTGTCTGAATAGCTGCAAACAGCCTGACTCGGGATCAAACATACACAAGTGTCCCCATAGGAAGCAGCTTCCTATTGGAGGACTTGGCAGGGGTGAAGAGCCTGGAGCACCAGCATGGTACCCCAGACGAGATGGTTCAGGACTGTTCCGTACAAAACTATTACACAGAGTTGGTCAGTTTGACATGTTTATTATTTTAAACTTTAAAGGTTTACAATCACTTTAAGGAGCTGCTTACCTGTTAACTTGCAGAGTGATAACTAGAGTGGTCTCCCAACAAGGTGTCCATTATCCAAGGGTATTTCATTTTTTCCCAGCAGGATCCAACATTGGGTTTAAGACTTATGTAGTGAAAATCCCTGCCCCCATGTCCTAATAATGGATAACATACACCAATCAGGCAAAACTTTATGACCACCCACTTAATATTGAGTAGGTCCAGCTTTTGCTGCCAAAACAGCCCTGACCCATTGAGGCATGGATGTTTGTAGACCTCTGATGGTATCTGCTGTGGTATCTGCCACCCTGCCAGCAGTAGCAGATCCTGTAAGTCCTGTAAGTTGTGATTAGGGGCCTCCGTGGATTAGAATTGATTTTTCCTACACATCCCACAGATGCTTGATTGGATTGAGATCTGGAGAATCTGGAGGTCAATTCAACACCTTAGCTCATTGTTGGGTTCCTCAAACCATTCTTGAACATTTTTGCAGTGAGGCAGGATGCAGTTTCCTTTTGAAAGGGGCCACTGCCATCAAGAAATATTGTTTCCATGAAGAGGTGTACTGGGTCAACAGCAAAGTTTAGGTAGGAGGTAAGTGTCAAGTAACACCCTTATAGCATTGCAGGTTTCACAGCAGAACATTACCCAAAACATCCCATACTGAATACTGGTGCCATCTTGTTCCCAAGATAAGTGGTGAACACACAGCTAGCCATCCACATGATGTAAAATAGAACAAAATTCATAAGACCAGGCCACCTTTTTTTTATTGCTCTCTGGTCTAGTTCTGATGCTCACGTAGCCATTGTAGGCGCTTTAGGCTGTGGGTATGGGTCAGCACAGGCACTCTGAATTGTCTGCGGCTACACAGCCTCATACATACCAATATGTTTACTTGCTGCATATTATACCCCACCAACTTTCAGATTCCATTGTAATGAGATCATCAAAGTTATTCACTTAACCTGCCAGTGGTCATACATTAATGGCTGATTGGTGTATGTTCTTACTAGGTGATGTCATAATGAGAAAATCTAGTACTACCTTATTTTGACAAAGATGTCACATGATCATCTGAGTGCACATTTCTTGTTGGAGGGGGTGACACTCTACATTATTTAACCTCTTGCCATCCGCCTGCTGTTTATAAACGGCAGGGCGGTGGCACTCCAGGGGCGGGCTGCCGTTCATAAACGGCACCCGCCTTTTCTAGCTGCCAAGGAGCGCGCAGCACCGCGATCCGATGCCCGCTCTGTCCTCCGGACACAGTGAAACACCGATCGTCGGACGGGACCTCTGTACGAGGTCCCGTTCATGTGATAACTGATAGGCCAATCAGTGATCACATGCAAAGTAGTAAGCAAGATGTCACTTGTGACATCATTGCTTACTACGCGTGAAATCTGTGAATGATCACAGAGGTCACATGGTACAAGGCTATTAACAACAGCCTTGTACCTTGTGACAAGGTGTGACCAATCACAGCTCACTCAGTATTTCTCAATGGCTGCAAGAATGCAGACAGAGAGAAAGAGAAATGATTGCTTTTACATCCTATATGGGTGTAAAAGCAATCACTGTAAAAAAACAAAAAAACAAAATCTTCATCACCCCCACAAGTAGTACAGTGTCACCATGGTGACACTGTATTGCTAGGGTGACAGTATGTAAAAAAAAAAAAAAAAAAAACCCATAAATAATAATATAAAAAAAATAAAATAAAAATGTAAAAAAAATGTTTAAAAATTATAATTTTTGGTTATAAACTAATTTGGCTTATTTTTTTTTAAATAAAAATATAACGGAATAAATTTTGGTCAAGATTTATGATGAAATATTATTTATTTGCAAAGTTTTATAAGAAAAACACTTTTTAAAAAAAATTTTTGGACATTTTTATTTACATAGCAAAAAAATAAAAATCCCAGCGGTGAATAAATACCACCAAAATAAAGCTTTATCTGTCTCAAAAAAATGGTAAAAAATTCATATGGGTACAGTATTGCATGACCGTGCAATTGTCATTCAAAGTGTGATAGCGCTGAAAGCTGAAAATTGCCCTGGACAGGAAGGGGGTAAAAGTGTCCGGACAGGAAGTGGTTAAAGCTGGTAAGTGGTCTTTTGAGCCACTGCTTCCTAGAACTCTATCATGCCTAATGTGAATATTAAACTACTGCAGCAAATAATATCATCCAATGAAATAATGAAAAGTAAGAACAGAAATATTTTAACATATTGAACATTTATTTAATGTAAAATTTGTGAGTAGGTACTATATAAAATAAGGGAATTGTTTTATTTACCCACTTTGTCATATCTTCACAATAAGTTGTTTTTGGTCTATCTGACACTTATAGCGAGCCTCAGAATATAAAACACACCTTTCCACATTTTTATGGGTTACCAAATATTGTTAAGCTCCTGAAAAAAACAAAGTTAACGTCATACTAAACAGAAAAGTGTTGATTGTCATAAACCATTCACATAAATCATTTTTATCATGCTACTGTATTTTTTTAACCACTTCAGTACAGGGCACTTTTACCCCCTTCCTACCCAGGCCAATTTTCAGCTTTCAGTGTTGTCGCACTTTGAATGACAATTGTGTGGTCATGCAACACTGTACCCATAAAAAATGTTATCATTGTTTCACACATACAGAGATTTATTTTGGTGGTATTTAATCACCACTGAGTTTTTTATTTTTTGCTAAATAAACAAAAAAAAACTTTTGAAAAAAAAAACGTTTTTTTTTTTTTTGTTTCAGTTATAAAATGTTGAAAATAAATAACCTTTCTTCATAAATTTAGGTCAAAATGTAATTGCTACGTTTCTTTGGTGAAAATACCCCAAATAAGTGTATATTATTTAGTCTGTAGGAAAGTTATAGAGTCCACAAACCATGGTATATATATCTGACAATCGATCATTCTTGATGTACTGACGGCCTCTTTTCTTAAGGCCCAAAAATGCCAGGATAGTACAAATAGACCCCCAATGACTCATTTTTGGAAAATAAACAGTCCAAGGTATTTAATAAGGGGCATGGTGAGTTTATTTGAATTTTCAATTTGTTGTTAAAATTTTATGGAAAATGAAGAAATCAAAAAAAAAAAAAACACTTTTTATTTTTACATATTGTCACCTGTGCATCACAGTGTTATTATATAACTGGGTGTGGTGGTGATCAGGGACACTGACTGGTGACAGTATGTAAAAAAAAAATAAAAATTAAATTTTAATTTTTTTTCAGATGTCTATATTATTTTTTTTTTTGCTAATTTTTTTTTCAACACACTGTGGCCAAACCAATACAATGTTACCATAATAGCATTGTACTACTTTGGGCAAGTGATCAGGATTTTTTTTTTTTTTACATATTATGATTGCTAATACCAATGTATTTCATTAATATTTGCAACCATTGTTACTGAATGAAACTGATTCACTCAGCCTTTTATTGTGATTAGCTGTGATTGGGCAAAGCTCATCACATGACACAGATGGGCTGTGATTGGCCCTGTCTGTACCATGTGACTGCTTTGACATGTACCATGTCACACCTAACAACACAATTGTCTACAATGGATGGCATTATAGGAAGCTAGCCATTGTCATGTGATCTGCTGTGATTGGTCACATTGGTCACATGACACTGGCAACGGGCCGGTGTAGTGATATGTCATTGGCTGTGACCCATGGACACAGCCGGTGACAGATCATGCAGCTGCGAGGCCACTTGAGCAGCTCCTTCTAACAGGACATCATATGACGCCCACTCAGAAGGAAGAGTGTCCCGCCCGGCCATCAATCTGCTATAGGCCGGGCGGGAAGGTGTTAAGTACCTTATTCCTGCAGCGCTGTTGTGTGGTCACATGATCATTCCCTGTTTTTTGGAATGTGCAGGGAAAGATCCTTGGGATGGGCTTCAACTACTACAGGTTGAGTCTGCACAGCCCTGATTGGTACTATGCCAGTCAAATGCCAAAAAAAAGGTTTCAGAAAAGCAATTCAAATTAAATTATGCATATCAAAAAACTGTTTTACAGCTCCTTAGGCTGAACTGCGGGACTTTGTTTGAAGGCTGCTAATTGCGGAAATACATTTTTCCCAGAAGAGCTGGTGTGTGGGCGGAGGTATATAAATGTGAAAGCCTGGGAACAGGAACAGGAAGTGAGAGGGGAGAGAGCTGGAGAGAGGAAGCAGAGAGAGGGTTGTAATGACTGAACAGGACCAGACCACAGAGCTAGATAGAGGAGTAGCAAGGAGGAGTTGCTGACCGCTAGCCTTGCCACCCTGTTCAGTGGGACAGTCTGCCAGCAGGTGACCCAGTGCGCAGTGACCAGACGGAATGCTGCAAGTGAGGCTGGAGAACCTGTAGGGGCCCCCATCCGCATGACAGAGAGAGACAGCCAGGACCTGCTGGAAGCCACCGGTCGGATGAGAGAGTCCCATACACCAGTTAAACAAGAGAGCACTGACATTCTCCTCATACCTGCTACTTTATATGTACACAGTTGCCGACATTACATTCAGTTAATAAGTGTTGCAGCCAGTTCCCATAGCCTCTACCGTCAAACACATTTGCAGCACAGTCCAATCATCAGAGCTGACCACAGTGCACACCTTCTGCAGACCAGATCACATCAGTGTTCCCTCTACCGTTGGCCTATCCTTCTAAAGGAACTTCTACCTCCATTGCCATTGGTTACTACAGCCAAAAGTGGAGTTGCCCTTTGCTAACAAGCCTTATTGCCAGTTTGACACCTTATTTGCCTAAAGCTGCCCTTTTCTCAGTGCATTAAAGAGGACAACACCCAAATCAAGTGCCTCGTAACTGGAAAGTACTTTTCCTTTCTTTTTCCTCCTTTGTGTTAATCATGTAAGAAACTGTCACCTACCTTGCTTCCTGCCTGTGCAGCAACTGGGCCCCAGTGAGTGCACAGAGGAATCACTGCATTTAAAGTGACATTGACAACCCTGGTCAAAGAGCTCTTTTATCTCAGATTTAAGCCTTGCCATCAGACTCTGAGGGCCCAATGTGAGCTAGTTCTCCTGTTGCTAGTTTTCATTGCTCATTGGGGTTGACACCACCTCAGGTTGAAGGTGTTTGGTTAACTTCTGAAAAGCAGGCCTGCTAACACTATATCAATATGAAGGTGCAGCGCTAAGACATAATGTACAATATATTGCATAATAAATCACATAAATCACATAGAATGCAAAATTACTAAGTGCAAAAAATGAGATGTCACCAAATGGGGAACGTAGTGTATAAACTCCCCAAATAAAACAGCCCACGTGAGGATCTTGTATGATCACAATAATCGTGCGTGGAAATCTGGTCTGGGGTAGTAGATGATAAATCCAATTAAATAAATTGCGCACTCACCAGAAGTGCGTAAATACACGCATTTGAGATATAGCCTGTCTCATCAGGTATCACTCAGGTCATCTGCTCCCAGGTCAGGTCAGGTTCTTACACCTTCTGGTCACATCTGAAAAGGGTGCTCAGGGGTCCTTGAAGTGTATCGCCGTTTGGGGTCACCTTTAAAGCAGGGTCTGAGAATGAGGGCACTCACAAGGAGAGCCCAATAAGGGACACCACATAGCGTGATACTGTATAGGGAGCTCTATTCCCTCAAAGATAGGTGTAAAACAATAGTATCAAAGTATCAAGTAAGAAAGAACACTGACCATATGTTAATCAGGATGGCCACCAGCGGTGGCTAGACGTCCAGTTGCTGTAGCCCCCTGATGCGTTTCATGCTATGCACTTACTCATAGGGTGCAGGGCTTACAGCAGAAGACGTCTAACTACATGTATTTATAATTGAAAATGGCGTTTGCGCTTATCGCGCCCCTATCAGCGCATGCGCAGTGCACTGGCGCCATTTTGCCATGGATCGCAAGGACCAAAGTTAATTACTGTATTCTCGGCAGATGCGCGCACCGCGGTGCCATTTTCTTGGCGGTATTCAGACGCCAGCAATACGACAACTGTTGCCAGACCGAATAGATCGGTACAGAGGTCTTGGGGATCGGATAAAAAGACAGGATAAGTGATCCTTAATGGATGGTAATAGGTATATGTGGAAGTCCCCTTAATTGTATACCCCTAAGGACAATAAAGTATCAAGCCGCAAAGGTATAATTAAGTTTGTATGCAGGAACCGTGCCTATTGGCGCCATTTTGCCAATGCCATTTTTTGTAAGTTTCTTAGTGAATGTAATCAATCAGCATACTATATCCTACCCCCATAGTGTTTAACAATAGGAGGGCATTGAGGAGGAGGGAGAGAGTAGGCTGTCATTTATCCGGAGTGTATACACCCGCATATGTGACTCTATACTCATGTGGGCTACACAGATAAGAAAAAGTAGGAAATGAAGAACTTAGAAGGGAACTGAAATATAAGCATGCTCAGTAGAGGACACCAGATGATCTACACAGTTGCAGACTGCAATGGGCAATGGAGACACAGAGAATATGAGAGGGACAGCTGAGCGGGGGATCAGCAATTTATATAGTATTTTACTTTGCACAAAATTGATGCTTTAGCGGTTTTGAGAGTATGCATGAGAGTTTTTCTTAGTTTGGGTTTAACGACAATATATACACATATATATATATATATATATATATATATATATACACACATACATACATATAGAAATTGAGAGAGAGAGTGTTATCCATTCCTTCTATATATTTGTTGTATTTTTACCTTATTTTTCCATATTACTAAAATATGAAAAGTGTATCAGTCAGTGCATGGCATCAGAATGAAGTCCTGATAATCCTGCAACAAGCAATGTCAAGTTCAGTTTAAACAAATGTCACACTAGCACATATCTAAAATTGCTTTGGACATGAAAGCTGGGGGTAAAGGTAAATCTGCTGGATATGCTTTACTATGGTGTTAAAAAAGAATTTACTGGGGCTAAGAAGCCCAAAAGAGCTCACCAAAGCCCTCAGGTACTTTCAGATATATTTGCCCTTCTGACATCTGGCAGAACTGCTGGATTTTTATTCTGGACCTTTAATTTTGTATCCAGTGACAGGCTGCTGATTATATCTTGAATGACAAAAAATATGGTTTTCATCTTAAATTAACAGTAATGATTTAATGTGATTGTCTTTTAAATAGTTAAAAACCACAAAATACATTATGTCTTAGCTTTCCTTCGTATGAGTTCTTTGGGGTTTTTTTTATTTGCTTACATATAGACCTCTTTCACACTGGTAGCAGAGTTTACCTTCATATGAAAAGTGATCTGTTGTGGATCACTTTTCAGATAACGATTGACAGTCAATTTAAAGGAGTCCATGAGGTTGCCTCCTGCATGCCTCTTTGGTTGATCCCCAGAGGATATTTTTTATCTCAGTGGGGGTTTCACATTGAACTACTGTGCAGAAACTGACCAGCAAATTGGCACAAGATCGTGGTGGTCTCATTCAAGTCAATGAGTTTGATAGTCAGCATTAGTGTCAGAATTGGCTGAATTAAAATTGTTGCACTGCAAAGTGAAGCATTGGGGGAATTAATATTGCTGCTCAACCACCTGTTTTTACTGCCCCTTCAACATCATTGTGAACTTAGCCTTAGAGAGTTCCAACACATTCTTAACCACTTTAAAATATAAAGGAGGTTTACTATTAAACCAAATTTACAAGGCTGCCTCCCCATTGCTCCATTTTGCCCTGCATTCATGATATTATACTGTTAGCTGTGATGTAAACATCTTTTTAACACATTTTTTTTATATCACATGATCACAAAGCTCTGGCTCCCCTGTGTAACTGTGCAGCTGCTAGACATGAACTCTCTCCTCCACTGACAATGTCTAGAGTAGTGGATGCCAGTGGGTGATTTCAGCCCTGTTGTCAGCCCAGTATATTTACATAGAGAAGCCTAAATTTTGTAGTCACGTGACCATATAGAAAAAAGTGAAAGCAAAGCATTTAAAGCAGATCTTCCCCCTCATGTGAGACTTCCCTCCTCTTCACCACTCTGCTGCCAGAATGTTTTTCATTAAAAAAGTGCAACCCTGCCTCCCCTTGCACGGCACTTGCCTAGGCGAATGCAATGCAAGGTCTTCACTTTGCACGTCACATATCCCAGAAGTCATATAGCTTCATTCAGAAAGGAGGAGATAACAGGCCTAACGCCATATAATCAGAAGGCATGCCAGCTGTACCTGGAGTAATCTGCGGGCTTCTTGATGATGTCAAAATCAACATGGCGGCATGGCAGAAAACAGGAGGACTTCAGCAGGACAACGCTGGATCCTCTTGGTGGGTGAGAATCAGACATGGGGGGGGGTGAGAAGTGGCCGAAGATCCTCTTTAACTTACATGGCAACTTATGCTAAAACATGTAGGACAATGGGGAGGCAATAATTTCAAGTTGGTCTATTGTTAAGCCTTTCCTTCTACTCTAAAGGATTGTTGCAACTAGAATGGATATTTTAGTTCTATATAGGGCCTTTGGATCTGTATGTGTTGGATACTTCAACAGTAGCATCTCCCTGCTATTGTTCCTGACTATTCTCCTTGGTATTCCTGAATGTTCCCACCCACCCTTGTGTGTTCAGTTCCTTCTATTGCATTCATTATAAAATAAACAAAAAATCCAACAGGGAGAATAGGGCCCCTTGTAGTGACCTCAGCAGGTGTGCAAAATTAAGAACTCAAAAACAGAGATCTTACAAATAGTGTCCTCAAGATA